ACCATAAAGCACGAACAGAGTACAGTAGGGTATGAAGCAGGGACTTTATGATTGTGGCAGTATAAACTTCGTAGCAAACCTTTCTATATGCAATGTTTTTTCGCCCACTGTACGATAAGTGACCCAAAAATGTCAGCAAAAACAGAATAATTGTTCCATACCTCGCATAAGTCTTTTAAATTTGCGATGTTTTGTTGCTGAGGTGAAGTTGTTGTTCCCAGTGATCCCCCAGAAAAAGACACAATCAAAAAAGCGAAACACTGAACCATCATATTGATGCGGAGAGTTGAACCAGAACACATTGAATAGACCAGTGCTACGTGCTCTTTAGTTAAAATAGTAAATATTTGTTTTGTTCCTGTTTTACCGTTGCTGGTTACTTCCTTATTTCATCTCCTTTTATGGTAGTTATATGTGTTTGATTTTCTTCTAGAACAAACTTCCTTTAAGAGTAAGTCCTCATACGTGAAGGTATTTTTCAATTTGTATCTTCATTACCACCATATCATTCATTCACAAGTGCATAGACACGTACGTTTTTTTGGAGTTGGCCTTTTTTCTGGAGTAACCTTTAGAGCTTCGTATTACATGTTAATGTCTATACGCTTACATGTTAGACCCGGGGTAGGGATCTTATGCGGCCAAAAGAGAGATCGCACTGAAACGATTACGTAGTTTTAACAAAAGTAACTTTGAAAATTCAACACAGTGTCATATAAATGATGACTGATGCCTTGTTTTTGTTGATCTCTATCATCCCCAAACATTTGAGGTTACAACGTCTTAAGTAACTGCTTCGGGGTTGGTGGTGCTTTTTATTGATTAGAATTTTAATTCAGCGCTAAACAAACAAGTTCCGACACGACTTCTTTGCTTATCTTCAAACCACGTCATGATCATCGAGCAAAAAAGGAAGTAGTGAGAAGAGCCAACGCAAGTTCCCGAATAACTACTATGCTTATATCGAGTAACAAATAAGGAACTTTAAAAGAAGGGATAATGCTTAGATTATTTTCCTAATCATGATTTTAAGGGATGGGTGTTTGCATGTCTTTTCTTTGAAGGTTCTTTTGCTAAGTATTTATCAACATAGTAATCAGTGAACTCTTCAGAAAGGAGAGGAAAAAAATATCGTGTCGTGACCTCCTCATAGTTCTCCTATCTAAGTACGTAGGTCGTCATTGTAACCACGTTCAACTTGGTAATAAAAACATAAAATATAAAAAGCTAAAACCTACTAAAAGGTCGTATGCTAAAACGTGACAGGGAAACTATAAGACACTTTCTAAAAAGCTACAATATTGCAATTTACTTTTGAAGTCATTTGCATCAGTTGAAAGGCGTACTTGAGAGGGCAAACTGTTCCATAACTTAGTTAATAAATAAGTGAAAGAATTCTTTTTGCCTACAAATAAAGGACTGCAGTATTCTAGATGAGGTAATATAAATACTTTATAAAGATTATTATTGCATCATGGGGAGGAAAACGCCTTATTCTTCTCAGCGCGGAGGCCTTCGCGTATACTGAAAGTCATAGGGTAAAGTTTCGATAAGCCGCGCCATCCCGTTTTTAGAGTGACCTTATTGCATGCCCCTCTTAACAGACCTTTTTAGCTTGTATGTTATGCTTTACAAGGAAGGTCTCAAAATAAAATTACACGAGCGTATGCACGAGAATAAGACTGAGCTTATAAAAGAAACTGTTTTCTTGGGAAATTGAAACATACAAGCTAAAGATGTCTATCCAAGGAAGGTTCCTAATTAAACTTTTCGAACCAATAGTATTAAAAACTACATGTTGTCAGATCACTAACTTACTTTTGTCAATGACTAGTTCTTTTATGTCTGTGGATTCATCTAAAACAGCAGTTTGGAATCTTTCTGATTGCGTAATGAAAGACTGAGCCTTCGTCTCCTTTTGGTTCTCCCGTTTCGCATAACATTGAATCAGCGTTCCTTTACAATATTTCATTTTGTTTCAAAGGCCGTATATATCAGAATTGATTGTGCATTAGTTCTGAAGATTATCAAATTTCATTGCTATTTTTAATATGTAATTGTTGCTTTTTAGGTCCCGTATCGAATAAAAAACAAAATGATAGAATATAGAGAATGAACTCTGGAATGACAATTCAAGAGATGTAAATCTGAATTGGAAATTGCTCGTGATTCACCGATTGTAAACATTGTTTCATAGTTGTATAAACACATGAGCCTTTCCTGAATAATACATGAAAATGCGCTGGTCATCAGCGGCAAAGTCTATGTTGCCTGGAAAAGCAAAATGCTCCATAACGTAGCTCTACATGACGTTATCGGCGGACATCAAGCATATATTCATAGAAAGATTTATTTATGGCGCATCTAAATTTGCATCTGGCGGTTTCATCGTGCGGTTCGCGTGATTGCGCTTCGCGCGCGACGAGATTATAAACTTGCTTCGCTCGCAGCCTTCGGCCGCTCGCTTCGCGAGAATAAATCATGTTGTTCTGATGCTAACTAGTAATTTCAAGCATGATTTCCATACGAAGAATGGAAAAAAAATTAAATGCACACACAAGACACTGAAGCTTATCCCGGTTTCCTTAGCATGACGCATGCCTGCTGTAGGAGAATTGCTACTTCCCCCTGGACCGCATGCTAGTCCATCGCAGGGTTAAGATAGAGATAGATAGAGCCCAGCTGTTCGCAGGCCGATTAGCGCTAAACTAGGGTTAAATTTTAACCACGGTTTGTTTTTCTTTTTATCAAAATCATTTTTCTCGCATAATTTTCTTTATTCTTCTCAGAGTATCTAATCACCAAATTGTAAACAAAAAGCAGGGGGGTAGGGGGGTTATTGGGTCCTGATCCCACAGTCCCGCTCCTTTTTCATGACAATCACACATCCCGATCTTCTGTCATCTTTATCTCGAATACCGTTTTCTCCGCCAATTCTGTATCTCATGTCAAGATTTCGAGGCATCCGACTCTTGAGTAGCGGTCACATTCCGTATCCTCTCGATAAATTTTGTGTTATCCCTAATCCCTCACCATATTTCGCATCAAATCGTGGATCCCGAGATACCCCCTCAAGACCCTGTATGGTGGCCAATATATTTTGGTATTTCACCTCCCCCCCCCCCCCCCCCCCCCCTCCCTTCTTTTTCCCGCACTCCCCCCTCTCTTCACAATCGCCCTTTCCCTGTGCGCTTTTTTTTCTGCTTCATCCTTCCTTTTATATCTTTGTTCTTATTCTACCCCCACCCCCCCCCACTATTTCCCTACAAATCGGGAGCCCCGAAACACCCCCCCTCACCCCCGTTTGGTGGCCAATTATTTTTGTTTTTTCCCCCCCCCCCCCCCCCCGTCCCCCCTCTACTTTCTTTGACAAGTAAACTCCTTGAACTTCAAAATGGCCAATATCCGTGTGACTTTTTTTTCGAAGGAACCATCTCTTTAATAATATGACTTCACGATTCAGATTCAACCAAGACGCATAAAACCATAAGTGAGTCTTATTTGGGAAAATCCAAATCCGGATTTCCGAATCCAAAAACGGATTTTTCGTTTTTCTGGGCAAATCGAAAAACGGATCATGAATTTATTATTATGTTGATCTATTTTTCCTGGTTAGCCTACATTTCTTGCACCTACGATAACTGTTGTCCAAAAGGTCAGGTTAAAAATCCAAGAACCCCTGAGCTGAATATTTGTTTGATCGTATCTGTAAGCTTTTTGTAAATTTAGAGTAAGTTTTACTACATTTGTGCATGTTTCCATGAATATCGTCAAGTTCTATAGAAAAAAGAAGAGATAACATGAGCATAAAATTTACCTTTTTGCTAAAAGCCTTGGACATTAAACAAAAGGGAAAATTAAAAAAAGATAAAGAGGGACGAGAAAATTGGATACAAATCACCATCAAATACAAGTAATGACCAATTTCACTTAAAGAAAAAATAAATTATTCTTTAACTAAAGATTACTACTATACATTAAACCTCTCAACTATTGCTGGGAAATTTACTAGCGGGTTATATCTAAGACCCATTACGTGACCTAGGAAATCTACGTTAAGCACAGCTCAATCATTCCAGGTTACCGTAATTACTATCAGATTTCTTAAACGTTCAAACGTCTAGTTAGTCTTACTAACAACTTATTCGACTTACAAAAATTCATGCTATCTTGTCAAAACGACGCACAAAAGCGGAGGTTATTGAGCACGCGAAATCTAAAGATACGGTAAAACCGGCAACAGAAACGTGCAACTTTATTTGCAACATTACTCAACACGAGTTAAAGAGCGATGTTGCGCGTTTTACTACCCACATTCAACCTGACCTGCAACAAATCATCTTTTTGGCAGGCTGCGAAAACTTGTTGCAGAAAGTAGGGAGTAGTTCTACTTTTTGTGCATGTTGTATTTTTACCGGCCCAGTTGCCCGTTTCTCGAAAATCTCGGTAATGTTTCGGACCCTAAATCGAATTTTCAAATCGAAATATAAAGAATAAGAGCGTGGGTCCTGGCTAACAAACTGCTTAATTTTGTTTCATTAACTTATAGTTTTATCATGTTAGATGTAAAACTATTGAAACTGCTACCTTGCATGAAAACAGCAACAGCTTTACGGGCCCGTTAATTATCGAGGGAATTTCGAGAAGGGCCCCAGGACAAAGTTCTTTTGCAGCAAGTGATCTAAGTCTAGTGCATGGCGTGGCTCCCGCATAATTTATCCAATCAGAAGTCAGTATTCACGCAACTTGCAGTAACCTTTATTTGTTGCGGGAAAGGTTTGAACGTGGGTGGTAAAACGCGCGAATCATCGCTTTTCAACTCATCAGTTTTGCAGCAATGTTGCAAAACAAGTTTTACGTTTTTGTTGCCCGTATTACCGCGCCTTAAGCCATGTAATTTACCTCAACATGTTTCGCGCAAATAAAGTACTTGGAAGTTGCTTTATTTTTCTAGAAAGAGGAAAACTTCGTCACTCGGAATCGAGGGAGGGAGACTCCTGTTAGGACTGGGGCCTAGACACTTCTTCTATCATTATCCGGGACACAGAAAGCCACCCAGTGTGAGCATCACCCAGGGTTAGGCTGCCACACTGTCCTACCCATAATTCCACTCTAACTGCCCCTTGTGGAATGTTTTCACAGTATCCCTCAAATGACCGATGATGCAACAGATTATGGTTCCCAGCAGATGACCAGTTGTTGTAAACAGCAGCCTCAATCGTCATTGGTCCATTGCATTCGTTTCCATTGAACGTGAAATACCAGCGATTACACTTTTCATCACCCTGGACCCTCATGTTTCCCTGGAATGAGACTTTGAGCGCTGAACCAGACTTTAATTTGTTAAAAGCACACTCCTGGAAAACAATCAAGATCTATTCAGTAACGCCTTTATTATTGTAATACTAAATGGGAAAAGGAAATAGTTATCATCCGAATCGGAGGTTAAATGGCGTGATGATCACAGGAAGGGGAAGGAGATTTATCTTCTCAGAGCTATTTATTTGACTCGAGATTAATTGCAGCAAAATCTTAAATTTTCTACCTTTTTCTATGGAATGAGATCGTGTACTTTTCTTGTGATTTATTCCAATTATTTAGCATATTTCTTGCTTACCTTAATCTTTCCGTGATCAGTACCGCTGTCTGATTTCCACACACATTGTTTCCAGTTGGTTTGTGGTACTACACTTGCTTGACTTGCTTTGGCGCTTTCTCCTTTCTCTCCTTTGTCTCCTTTTCTTCCTGGATTTCCCACAATTCCTGATTCTCCTTTCATTCCCACAAGTCCTGTTTCACCTTTTAAGCCTTTCATTCCTCGTGGTCCACTCTTCCCAGGGGGTCCTTCGCGCCCTTTGTCTCCTCTTGGACCCGGCTTTCCTTGTGATCCTTTATCACCAATTTGTCCTTTTACACCTTCCCTTCCTTGGGGTCCTTGTGGCCCGGGGACGCCCGGCACTCCCGGCATGCCATTTGACCCTGGAATGCCCGGAAAACCATGACCCAGTAAAGATTTCTGAAAATTAAGACGAATTTTGTATCATAGGCTTATTTAAAGGAGCTGTGTCACGAAATTCAGCCAAATTAGGAAATTACAAAATGCCCATTAAATTAAGAATAAAAATAACTGCTTAAAACTTTAAAGAAAGTTTAAAATGACATAACAGAAACAACAGATGCCACGGATGGGCAAAACTGAAGAAGACTGAAACGGATTGAAATTAGGTTTTTGAAAACTGTTCAGCCTAACAGTTTTTTAAAGTTAATCCCTGCTGCTTGCAATTTCAAAAATAATGCTCAGGAGACATTTGTTTGTCTCGGATCTCTGATTTTGTCATTTACCTGTAACTTCTTTGCTTACTTTATGTTCCATAGCGTTTGAGGGCGAGTAATTGCCAAAAATAAACAAAATGAACTGGACTGTCGTGACACAGCCCCTTCAAGTAAGTGCTACTTTTATATATATTGATAGAGAAAGTGATCGTGTCAAATGGCTTGTACGACGTCAGTTAATCCACGGCGACTAAAACCCCTGGGTAAATAATGAAAATAATAATAATAATAATAATGATAATAATAATAATAATAATAATAATAATAATAATAATAATAACAATAATGGAAACTTTATTTGTGTTTTTGAATGTACAATTGTAAATCTCGCTACGTATAGGCAATTTACAAATGCTGCTTGAGATTGGATTATTAAAAGAAAAATAAAAACAACAAAACAAAAACAAAAACAAAAACAAAAAACAAAAAAACAAAGACAAAACCAAACAAAAGCCCCACCAAAATATATATATATCAAAATTGCATTAAGTCTGGGCTATCCCAGTTCCTATTTCTACAACAAAAGATGTAATTTGTTGCTCTAATGGCTATATTTATCATTTTCTTGATTATATAACGTTGCTGCGTTTTGTCAATGCTAATGTCATTCATTATGTCTAAGAACGTGGAGCATTCATCTGAGAAAACGCCAAGGGAACTCAAGGAGAGATTTACAAATCTCACACGTCTGTAATTCCTACTCATTTCGTTGATCAAGTTCAGATATTTTTCTTTCTTACGCACTGCATTGTTGTTAAGGTTAGACTCGAAACCAACTGTTAATTCTAGAACATATAGGCACTTGGACTGGATTAGGAAAAGAAGGTCTGGACGATAATTTTCACCAGTTATTATTGAGGGATTCAGAAAACCATTGACATCTGCATAGAGTGAAGAGTGAACATTAATTACAGGTTGAAGTGACTTGGCAATGAGGTTAAGGATTGAGTCGTTTCTCCAGGTAAAGCGATCAAAGCACTGTTGACAACCAGCGACAACATGAAGGAGTGATTCAGGATTAACGCAAAAGCAACAATCAGGACTTTATGATAATCCCCATCTTGCCATATTCTTACGTGTAGGGAGGGAGTTGTTGATGTAGCGGATGGTAAAATTGTAAATGTTCTTGGGTAGATGAGACTGGGCCTCTGACCAAATAGAATTTACAGATGACAATGAGTACTTGATAACATTTGAGAAGAAGAAACCTTGAGATGGTAGGTAGTGTGGCAGTTTATCCTCTTGATTAGAACGGAAATCTTTAAGAACTTCCTTAGTGGATATCTACACGTCATATTGAATATTAGTGTGACAGCTTGACGATTTCCAGAGATCTTTTAAGGAATCATTTGGTGACTCTTTTAATGAATTTCGGAGAACTGTTTGGCACTGAGTAAATTTAATAGAGGGAGGACAAATAAGACCAAATTTATTGCGTTCTAGGAAAACATTGCTTAGTGTTCCAGATATCGGAATATCAAGCCATTTTCGAATATAGCCATTCACTACAGAGTCGAGATGTTCCGTTATCCAGGTTTTGGATATCATAGCTGTAGTGAAATGCCAGGACAATTTAGATGGGACATAGCGGCTGTACATAATAATAATAATAATAATAATAATAATAATAATAATAATAATAATAATGATAATGATAATGATAATGATAATGATAATGATAATAATAATAATACTAATAATAATAATAAATCACGTCATTGAAAAAACGCACAGCACCATCCTAAATTCTATTGATATGATACGACCGGCGAACGATACCCGTCTTTTATTGAGAAACTGAGATGAAATGAGTTGTTTTAAAAAGGTAGGAAATATTACAAATGAGACGTGAGACCAAAATTTGGACAAATATCAACACCAACGTCAACTAAAAAATCCATAAAGCACAGACAGAGCACTGCAGGCTATGAAAAAGGAGGCTTTAGATTGTGCCAGTGTATACTTCGTAGCAAACCTTTTTCGTGCAATGTTTTTTTCACCCACTGCCTTAGAAATGACCTAAAAATTTCAGCAATAGCAGAATAGTTACTTCATACCTCGCATAAGTCTTTTAAATTTGGAGTGTTTTGTTGCTGAGGTAAGGTGGTTGTTCCCAGTGAACCGCTAGAAATACAGAGAACCAACAAAACAGCGAAACACTGAACCATCATAGCGATGAGAGTTGAACCAGAACACACTGAATAGACCAGTGCTACGTGCTTATCAGTTTAAATAGTAAATATTTGTATTGTTCCTGTTTTACTGTTGCTGGTTGGTTGGTTGTCATGTCATTTCCTTTTATGGTAGTTATATGTGTTTGTTTTTCTTCTCGAACAAACTTCCCATTGAAAGTAAGTCGTTATACGTGTAGGTATTGTTTCGACCTTTATCTTCATTATCACCATATTATTTATTCACGTATCGGGGGGGGGGGGG